TCTGTAATCTGGGTGTCTGAACTCCGACCACTCTTTTGTTCGTCCAGAGCTCTAGCAAATTTTGTTAGATTGGATGTTATTAGAAAAACTATAAACAAAAGCTATGTAGTAAAATAAATCCTAGCAGATGATAAATTCAATTCTTAATTACCTGTTGTCTGTAATCTGGGTGTCTGAACTCCGACCACTCTTTTGTTCGTCCAGAGCTCTAGCAAATTTTGTTAGGTTCGATGTTATTAGAATCAAACAATAAACAGTTTTTGTTGTTAGAGCTGAATAATACTGCATACTTCTTCGGTCTATTTTTAGTTTTTGGAATTTTTTATCTTGTATTCTTATTTTTATATTTTATATATGTATAATGTTAAAAGAGAAATTTAATAAAAATTTAAAAAATATATAAAGTATATATCACTTTTAATTTCATTTTTACCCTTTGTTTTTGTAATAAACAAATTGATTAAAGCATTTAGTAAAAATAAAAATGGTACAAAACATTTAATGCATTTGTAAAAATAAAAAGTGTAACAATTAAAAAAAGTTTTTTTTTTAATAAGTGCGACAATTAAAATTAGACAAAGATAATACTACTCTTAATTACCTTTGGAGGACCTTATTCGAAATCCTGGTTGCAACCTGCTTAGCATTTTTAAGCTTTGGTGTAAACTTATAATTAGAATCACCACTCACGCAATCAATAAACAGGTTTATTGCGAAAACCGACTCCTTCCTCTCGTCCACCTGCTTCCCCTTGTTTATTTCGTCCGCCCAATTGAAAAAGCCATATCTCCGAATTAAACGGACTCGGACTGACCAAGGAGATGAATGATCGAGAGTCTCGATCACAAACTTATTAAACATGACTTTCAGAATTTTTTCAAAGGAATTTTTACCATGGAAAGAAATAACAATATACGAGAGTAAAAGATCTTTCCCCAGCCATAAACCAGCCCCAACGGAAAGGGAAGCGAGAGCCCTGGTAACATAATTCAGGATCATCTTAGTTTCCACCGATCTCGTCCCTTCTCGATTCCCAAAGCATATAACCAACACAAGCCAGGCTATAAGAACCAAGCCACACCAGACAAAAACTCGATTTCTCTTCAATCCATAAACAAAGCAGTAAGCATTTAAATTGCCCGCAAACAAGAAGCAAATCAACAGAAAAACAGCATTCACAATCCACTCAGAAATCAATTCACCACAAACAACAACCATTAACAAAATACAACATTTCCAAAATTCTAATTCCCAAATCAAATGGTTTTTCAGACTGTGGCTGGTTAAACTAGCAATCAAAAGCCCAGTGATGCCAATCAATGCAATCCACTCCAATAGCACCCAAATTGTCCACCTCTTAGGAGCAGCAATTGCAGTAACGATTAAGCAAGCGATCGCAATCAGGGAACAAAGAGGCGCTAAAAGGACGACAAACAAGCCAAGCACAACCAATAAAAACACTAAACATCCACTGCTCTTACTTGTTGTGGAAGTAGCAGAACTGCCTATGCCCTCCCCTCTTCTGCCTTTTGAGTTTGAATTCTCACTACGAGTTGTGTTCTCCTTGTCTACTGATTTTGGACGAGGATCATTTGGTGTTGAGTTTGTCACCACTGAAATCTCATCCGTATTCATTGAAGAAGAGTCCGCCTCTGTGTTTCCTGTTTCTAGGTCGTCGTGTTGTTTTTCTCCTTTCTTCTCTGCCATACTGTTTTCAGCTTCCAGAGGCAAACAAAGTGGGTATAAGCTTTAAGTTTCTTCTGGATGGTTTCAAGGGTAAACAGAACAAGCAATACCTAAAATTATGATTGGAATTTGCAGAAACGAAGAAGAAGTTAGCTCTTTTCAGTTATTATTTCAGAGGAAAATAATTGGCATAATGCAATTGTCGATCGAAAAAGAGAGTTAAAGAGTGGCAGCTGGAGAAGCACAATGGTTTGAGTCCATGCTTAGTGAATGTCGATGGTAAAGAAAAAGAGGCAGCAAGAATGTAAGCCGACGGCTTGATACATACACAATTTCTCTTTCTTTAAAACATAATATAAAGGCCAAACCACCTCTCAAGCTCTAGATTTATCCTAAATTAACATGTGAGCCCTTAGACCAAAAATCGTGCAAATAAATCCTTAAATTCTTCATAAGATGTAAATTAACCCTTGAACCCTTTAAAAAATGCAAATCAACCCTTATCATTAATGGTCCAATAAAAAGTGGCGGAACCATCTTAGCGCCATAAGTTTTTAGTAAACGAATGAGATCTAATTGTCTAGGCTAAGGTAGTAAATACCATACCGGCATGTGTATCGATTTTACTACTAAAACGGTATATATCGTATATTGAAATTTTTTACGTACTGTTTCGGATTTATGCTATAAATATATATTTTTATAAATTAAATATCAAATTTTCAAATAAAATAAGAGATACTAATATTTAAAATTATCATATTCCTATAAATTAAAAATAAGTTTGAAATGATCATTTTTAGTTCCTCAACTTCTAATATATGCATATTTTTCGTCCATCCACTTTAAGTTAAAGGATTAAAAATATGTATATTTAGACAAACTTAATGGAGTAATTGATAGAATGACTAAAAAAAAACATTTTTCATAGTTGATGGACTAAAAAAATACATTAAAAAGTTAAAGGATGAAAATTATGTAAAACATTAAAGTTGAGGACAAAAATGAAATTTACCTTTTTTAAAATTTGAATTGAGTTGTACCGGCCGATACACCGAAATATCGGCTAGTACACTAAAACTTGATTGAAATGATCAAAATTTGACCAAAATAAAATTAGACCATGTATCATTTCGATTTAATACAAAAACTGATACATACCGCCCATACCGACCGTACGATACAATATCAACTTCCCTGGTCTAGGCCCTAGAAAAAAAACACTAAAACACGTTTATTGATTTTTAAAGAAATAGAAAGAAGAGTGGCATCCAAACTAAAATTAAGTCAAGGACGGAGATCAGAGTAGGTTTATTTCTAGCTTTAGGCCTACTATTTATATTTATTTGACAATTATAACCTTTTAATTTTAACAACTAACCTTTTTTACAGTCCACTTCTTTTTTATTGACTTCAAGCCCCTTACTTCACTTCATGATTAAATAATATAGTTAAGTTTAAATTATATAATAATGAATATCCAATGATTATATAATAATGTAAAATAGCAAAATCAATTATTGAGATAATACAATAAATATGTTACTTTAGTAATTTAGGTAACTTTTTTAAACACAAAATATAAAAATTTTACTTTCAATTAAAAATAAAAAACTTTGTAATTTTGAATTGTATTAGTATTATTTCACTTCAATTAAATAATTAAAAAATGACCAAGTTTTTCTTATACCTAACCTAATTTGTGTTGTTATGTGAGAGAAAAAATATGATGAAAGAATTTTAAATATTATTGTTAGGTCGACAAATTGAAAATTTCTAAATCACTATGATACTTCAAGCTATTGTAGGGTGCATAATTAAGATCTCTCGAGAAAAGATTATTTTCAATGTGTGTGTAAACTGCTTTAAAATCACTTTGACGTCTAAATAAATAATAAAAAAAAACAGAATACATAATGTGTTTTATGTGATTATTTCACATCATTTTTTGTTATTTATTTAATTTATGCTATATTATGATAAGTAGAGGTAAAATATAAATGCAAAAAAGGGCCTACCCAAGAGTAAATCCTGGTTCTGCCACTGCCAACGAATGTGATATGTGGCACACATGGTCTGGGAACACTAAATAAAAAAAGGGATCATGTGGGCCATTTTGGTAAAGATTTTAGGGCATGTTTGGTGCAGCTCCTAGGATTTAGCTTTTTGACACTATTTATGTCTCATGAATTTAAATTTTCCTCTTAAAAACTTACACTTTTAAATATTTTTTTAACCTCAAAAAGCTCTTAAACAGTAAAAGTTCAAAAGTTCAAATCCAAACTTTTTATAAACTCCCTTTTTACTTGCTTTTCACTTACTTTTTCACCTTTCTAAAAGCTAAAGTTCTATTTTCCCTCCAATAAAAATTTAAACTTATCATTCATAATAGTACTCAAAAAGCAAAAGCTCTCACAAGTCACACCAAACAGTCTTTGTCCAAGGAGTCTTTTGATCCATGTCAATATCCATGTGGAAATGTGGGACCAAGCCAAGGAAAAGAACAGATAGCATGAGATCATACGCATTGTGTTGATAATGATGAAGGCTAATTTGCATTATTTGACAAGTTTGAGAGCTTATTTATATTGTTTTTAGTTTAGAGGTTTAAATATGAATTTGGGATAAGTCTAGGAGTTTAAGAAGGGGTTTGGGTTTTGCCTAACATAAATCATCATATCCTTACTAGAAAAAAAGCACAATTATCTTCATCCTTTTTCTTTGTAACATAATTTATCCTTTCCTTCCTAGCATGGACAGAAGATATGTGATATTCCTAGACAAATCCCACATTGACATAGTATGAAAGAGATGTTGAGCAATAGGTCAAACACCCATTAATCCTTATTAATGCATTTTAAAATTGTGAGATTTAATGGGCCAAAGTGGATAATATCAATAGTTTGCTGGGTTGTTACGAATGATATCAAGCCACTTCATGCCCTATTAGCACGCTTTAAGACCATGGGACCCAATAGACCAAAATGAATGAATCAATAGTTTTCTAGGTTGTTATAGCATATATTTGTCCTCTTCAGTGTGTTCACAACTGTTAAAGTAAGTTGTCCCATTTTTAGTGTGAGAAACAAGAGTCGTAAGATGGTATCAAAACATGCGATGGGTCATTGAATATCTCCCTACTACTCTAAATGTCTCCCCAACAAATAGTAACAAGTGGAATTCCAGTTTTGGGCAAGGCCTAGCAAAGTGAGAGTGTATTTGATATAAACCTATGAGTATACTTATGGACCATGTGTGTTGATCACAACTCACAAGTAGGGAGTGTTAAAGTACGTTGTTCCTTTGTGAGTGTGAAAAGTAAAAGTCTCAATTGAAGCAATATGAAAAAATAAAGTGACTTAAATATGGATCGCCGAATGTCTCTCTACCAGGCCAGATTCTCTCAACAACAACACTAAGGTGCATGTAGTTTCCATTATCATTTTTTTTTTTTTGGTTGTACAGAAATTATCAAGGTTTTTTTTTTTTTAATCAAAAAGTTAAATGCTTAACATTATAAAAATTTAAATTCTGATCTTTGCTTTAAATTATGATTTTATAATTAATCAGTACCAACTTTATCAAGTTATTGTTGGTATGAAAATTTTGTTTAAATAGTGTTATTTGCTTCGTTAAGAGTAAAACTCTGCAACATGAGCAATAACTTTTTGAAAATCAACAACAATCTGGTTTTCATATTCAATTTTTGATTTTTTTCCCTAAATTTAGAAAGTGATAGGAAACAGTATCATAATAGTATCTAAATTTTTTAAAGTGATGTGAAACATTGTCTAAGCGAACAAAGTTTATGCAAACTGCCAAAGCGTAAAGCTCCAATTACTTGTCATTAGAGAAAAGTCCCATATTCTATTGATCTCATTCTCAGGACTTCATTTTCATCTTCAGGAACTCAGGGTATCATCGTCCTTGCTGCGTCTTTTTCCCTTTATTCCTTTTTTTTTTTTTTACAGTACTTTATTCCTTGTTTTTATGTTACCTTCAAAGATAATTTTCATGAACCATACTATACATAGAGTTAGATTTAGACTCTACTTATACGCACTTCTTTTATCTAATCTTGACCATTTATCTTTTCACTATATAAATAATTAAAATTTTGTATAAGTGATGTTAAAGAATTGTATAAAATTAAATCCTAACTCATACATATAGAGGAAAAAGTGCATATCAATTTCAACTACTAAAAAAATTCAGAATCCTAACCCTAAACCATGTTGCTTCGATTAATTAAGATTAAATCTCCAATTTGGTCTCTCAACTATTGTATGGACCCATGAGTTGGTCCCTAAACTAAAAAAGTCCCTAATTTAGTCCCTAGAATTTCTAAGTTGGCCCTTCAGTTAAAAAATCATTGATTCATCCCGTTACTTGACGAGAGAACAATGACACATCAAAACTTTGATGCACATAAGTTGACAGCATGGCAAAAAACTAATGACATGGCATTTTTTTTTTAATTTCCTTTTATTTTTAATTTTCTTTTTTCCCTTCCTCTTTCTTCTTCCTTTCCTTTGCCTTCTGCAAACCTTTTGCAGTTGCTTAAGATCCCCAAGGTGGAGTAAGGAAGCAAAGCCAAGAACTCTGAAATCAGCACCGTTGAGAACTCTAATACTAGCACCATCGAGAACTCTGATACAACACCATTAAGAACTTTGACACCACAGACCATGGAACTCATATTTGGGTCTCTGATCTCTGATGCCCACCTCCTTATGGTCTGTATTGGACAGCATTGTAATTGACATCATTTAGGTAATGTTGTTGCTTTTTTATCTTCCATGCCTAGTATTTTTCTTCGGAAAACTATGGTTGCTCTACTTCGAACCCTAATTCAGATTTTAATAGAACGAAATTTCTTGATGGATCTCTTATTCAGTTACAAGTGAAATAAAAATGGTTTTATTTAATAAATCATCTATTAACTATTACCTTTTTTTCAAACTCATCTATTAACTTTCAAAATTATTTCATTTTCGTCTACCCCACACAACACTGGTAACCACATTGACAGAAGTTTCAGTTTCTAATCACGTGGCACCATGTAAGTTGCAGTGTAATGCCACATAAGCAAACTGTTGGCTTAAAAAAAGGGAGGGCAAATTCCACAGCATTGTTTCTCTTTAATTTTTTTTTTTTGGTGGCAGGAGCAAATTTCTTGTCTCATTATTTTCCTTTAATTTTTTTTGCCATTGTTTCCTTTTAATTAAAACAAAATCTATTATTAGAAAAATAATAAAACTAAAATATAACA